TTACATGAAGACAAAATGGGATTAATATGGTTTATAGTACACAAACAAAAGCCAAACATTTTTCACTGCTTTCTTCCGTTTCTCCATGGACATTCAAGAGTGATCTTTAGGCCTTCTGATGCGACATTTCAGTTAACAGAAACTCGAAAATAGTGTGACTGCAAGTGTTTTTAATGAATACTAGAAGTAAATTTATTAAGACAAAATTTGAATATTGTGGTGTATAGAGAGCAATATGGCACAGAATGAAGGTAATGATTTATCTGCCTGTTATACACACACACACACACACACACACACTCACACTCACTCACTCACTCACTCACTCACTCACTCACTCACTCACTCACTCACTCACTCACTCACTCACTCACTCACTCACTCACTCACTCACTCACTCACTCACTCACTCACTCACTCACTCACTCACTCACTCACTCACTCACTCACTCACTCACTCACTCACTCACTCACTCACTCACTCACTCACTCACTCACTCACTCACTCACTCACTCACTCACTCACTCACTCACTCACTCACTCACTCACTCACTCACTCACACAACAACAACACAACAACCCAATAGAGGAGTTATTTGCAGCAAATACAAATGCAAATGGTCTTTAATACAGCCATTCTTTTTGAATAATTGTAAATATTGACTTTGTCCAAGTCACGCCACTGATGGCACCAGTCACCAAGTCTTCCAGGGTGCAGGCCATCTGTGACACCAAGACCAAAAACAGACTCTCATAACCTGATTCATAAGATGCATCAGCTTTCAGAACACATATGATTCATGAACACAAATAAAAAAATATGTGTTTCAATGCATATTAAAATTGTACCTTGCTGCGGGCTCTCACACTGTCACACCCTATTTCACTCTATATTTTCGACTGTTTCACAAGCTGTCCTGAGATCTTGTTGGTAAACATGATGTCAAGTCACATTAACCACACCCTCATCTGCAAGTTTACACCCAGTGGTCTTACTGTTTATAGCATGACTTGCATTTATTGTCATGTATGAATGATTATTTGAAAGATGGCACAAAAATTATAATGAATATTTATGTCTTCAACATTTTTATTATTTTATATACCGTTTTATAAAGTACTCAAGGCCACGATTATGATCTCTGGTCACTCTGGTGCATGTGGTACCTAACAATCATGACTTTAATCATGACTATGTTCATAATATATCACAACCTCCAATAACGTTTTCTCATGTATTTATGTGTTTAAACGAGGTTAAGCCAAGCATAGTACACTCAGCTAATGTGAAGTAATATTAATCAGCCAATAGAGGGAGCACTTCTAAGTAAGTCAATATACTAGTGATAATTATATACTAAAAATACTACAATATTCATTAGTACTCCATTGGTTTGGGGACTTTTAAAAATAAAAATTAATTAATAATGTTTTTATTCAGCAAGGATGCACCAAACTGATCAAAGGTGACAGTAAAGACATTTATAATGTTAAAAAAGATTTATTGTTCAAATAAATGTTGTTCTTTTGAACTTACTAATCATCACAAATAAAAAAAAATATGTTTCCACAAAAATATTAAGCAGCTACATTTCAATCAATGATCAGCTTTGATTTAGCTTTGCATCACAGGTATCATAAATTACATTTTTAAATATATTCAAATAGTTATTTTAAATTGTAATAATATTTCACAACTTTACTGTTTTGCTGTATTTTAGATAGAATAAATGCAGCCGTAGTGAGCATGAGAGACTTATTTTAAAAACATAAGAAATTCTTCCCAACCCCAAATTTTTTGAATAGTAATAAGTGTATGTGTGTTCCGTGCAGCTCTGTTATTTAGTTACTTGCCTTGTGGCTCACGATTACAGACCGGTGACCCTAGTGACTTTAGCTGTCTCTATCTTATGTTCCTCTTTGTTGATCATCCGGTGCTTTGCCCCGTCCTTGCACAGCTGACAGCTCTACGCCGTGAAACCCTATCAGATGTCTGGCTCTGTTCCTCCTGGGGTCTCCAGGTTATTGATTTCTGCAGTGAACTTGGTGCATGGGGATCAATGCTTCTACAAAGGGTTATAACTAAAATTATTTTGTCCAGATATTAGTAAAGGGCCATTACTTTTTCCTCTCAGACAATGATTTGCTGTTAAATTGTGTGTATAATTAAAATATTAACTGTACTGACATTATCTGACTTCCAAAAAAAGCTCTTTCATTGTTAAGCTTCTCTTTTCAAGACATTTGATGGACAGGAGTCATGTGGATTATTGTGATGTTTTTATCAGCTGTTTGGACTCTCATTCTGACGGCACCCATTCACTGCAGAGGATCCATTAGTGAGCAAGTGATGTAATGCTAAACAAACTCATCTACATCTTGGATGCCCTGATGGTGAGTAATTTTTTTTTAGCTTGAACGATTCCTCTTCTACTGAACCAAAAATATTATTTTTGTTTTGTAGAACAAAAACAAAAAAAACATGACTGTGTAATCTTTGTATTAAATTTCAGACACAACCTTGATCTTTGCTTGTGAAATATAATCACGATGCTTGTGCAGAGAGCCCAGCAAAGTCATCAAGTATTGTCACTAGAAGCATTGTCATTAGCATGCCGCGTCAGCCTATAAATTACCAACACAATGCGGGTCATGACAAGGATGGCAGTTATTGGAATGGCAGCAATGTAGCAGGGCCTGAGTCTCTCTGAGCATTTGGCAATTGTGTGGCGCTTTGATCATCTGTCAGCTCAGAGGGGGCTATCTGACTTGTGCCTAGTCTCTAAAATTGTGAAGGGAAACAGAGATAGACATTGGCTCCAAACATCCTGCATTCTCCACTTCCTTCCTGCGCTGGCCCACATTGTCAGGCTTCCTCTTTCTCTTCTGCAGCCAATCACAAAGCACTGCTTTACAGATAAGCCCCTCCCACCATGGAGGAACAGTCTCAGTAAAGCTGATCTGTCTGATAGTCTCTCTGGGGATTGATATGTGATTGATGACAATGTCCAGCCCTTCCATACCAGTATTAAATGGGATAGAAACACAACCTGGGTGATGAGTGAAGCAGTGTGGGTTGAGGAAATCTGGTCTGCTGTAGCATCCTGCATCACACCAGCCGAGCTAACCTCAGTTAACAGAAGGAAAATAAATAAAGAATTCCTCACAGAGCTTATTAGGCTCCTAACACACCTTGGTTATGACAGACAGATGGTTTAATTTACTGTCACGGCACGCTCAAGACCCCCTGGTCCACCGTCTCACTGCGGACTTCTAAAGCATGTAAACATCTTAGCTGGTGCCTGCTGGATGTGAAAGGAGTGTCTCTACAAAATTTGACGAACCAAAACATACTAGTTCAAATCAAAATGTATTTTTTAAACACAAGCGGAGTGTTATTTCTGCTGAAGTGACAATGCAGACAGTCTTAGCTGGCAGTGTCGATACAGACCTCCTCGAGTTCATCATGACAGGAGCAGAGAGACAGAAACAGGATATCCATGACAATGCATCATCCTATTTCACTGCTGCTTATCTAAAGAACGCTGTCTTCAGCCAACACTCATTCTCTCGCTCTATGGTTGTACTGTATGTAAAAAACTCAGCCAATAACAAATTGCAGATGATGTGAACAAACAGACCTAGTTTTAGGTTAAACGGAGTCATCTGCTCTGTATTTTGGAATATGAAACAAATATAATCCAGATAATCCTACCATTGTCAAAGCTTGAAAAGATATTAGACTGTGGTTATGGAATGATTTAATCATCATACAGAATGTATTCAAACACTAAACATTGTGTTTGAATGTCCTTAGTTGGATAAATTAAAAAGCCAAGTGACATATGCAATCTTTTTTAGTCATTTCTTCCTAAAACTTTTTATAGAACTAACACTTTACAATAAAAAATTAAGTATTGCGTTAGCGAACAATGAGCAATATGTTAACATGAGTTAATAAAAATACCATTTTACTACTAATAATAAAACTGTCCATTGTGAGTTGTGTATGTTAGCTGAGGTCAGTTGAATAATTTTAACAGATTAAGCTTTTAATTTGAATAATATATTAGTAAATGTCGACATTAACATTAAGATTAATAAATGCTTTAGTATTTTTATTGTTAGTTCACGTTCACTAATATAGGCTAACAAATGGACTCTTATTATAACTTGTGTAACCGAAATAACTTTACCTTGCATTTCCCTCAAATTAGAAGAGTTTATCGTTTAATCAAACGTTTAGAACACGATATGTGACCCTGGACCACAAAACCAATCATAAGTAGCACATGTATATTTGTAGCAATAGCCAACAATACATTGCATGGGTCAAAATGATTGATTTTTCTTTTATGCCAAAAATCATTAGGATGTTAAGTAAAGACCATGTTCCATGAAGATATTTAGTAAAATTCTTACTATAAATATATCAAAATGTAACTTTTGATTAGTAATATGCATTGCTAAGAACTTCATTTGGACAACTTTAAAGGCGATTTTCTCAATATCTAGATTTTTTTGCACCCTCAGATTCCAGATTTTCAAATAGATGCATCTCAACCAAATACTGTCCTATCCTAACAAACCATACATCAGTGGAACGCTTGTTTATTCAGCTTTCAGATGATGTATACATCTCAATTTCAAAATAATTTACACTTATGACTGGTTTTGTGGTCCAGGGTCACATATGTAAATGATTTGGTAAATAATGACAGGACTTGTGTTGCTATGGGTACTTCGTCAGGCGAAGGCGACTTCTGCGGGCAAGCGTTGTTAGCAAACTTGCAAATCTAATTTCTATGGTTACTGACATGGTTTCAAACGCTTAAAACTTATATTTACTTGGGCTACTTCATAATTCGCGCCCTGACGTAAGTGTCGAAATACATTTTGGGCGGCTACTATACAGTATATTAGGTTACGTCCTCCGGGTGTTCCGGGTGTCAGACTCAGCAGCGCAATATACGGAACATCTGAAGCAGGAAGACAGAGAGAGAGAACGATAGAGAGAGAGGAGGGGAGAGCGAAAATAAGAGGTGAAAGAGCGAGTGAGGAGAGCAGCAACACACGGATCAGTCTCTCTCCGCTGGTGCTCCAACCCTGGAAACACCATCCAGTCATTACATCGCCCGCGATTCTGCTATGCGCAACGGACGTGGAGACGCCATTTGCGCTTTGGTTTTGGATTGGTGTTAAATCTTTTACTGTGCATCACTGGACATGATGGAGCATTGGAGACAATGTGCGTTATGGCTGATCAATTGTAAGGTGCTGCCACCGAACCATCGGGTAACATGGGAGTCCGCTCAGGTGTTCGACCTGGCGCAGACCCTGCGGGATGGGGTCCTCCTGTGCCAGCTTCTCAACAACCTGAGACCCCAGTCACTCAACCTGAGGGAGATCAACCTGAGACCTCAGATGTCACAGGTAAGAGATAGCCTACACGAAGGCAATAAGTTCTGTTTGCAGTAACAATAGACGTTAAACTCAATAATTGAGGGTTAAAAGCATTTTTAGAAACATATGTTGTTATGTATATGAAAAAGGTGGATTTACTGCTGTGTACGTACTTGTGCATTCAATATTTTTGCAACAGAAAGTTGATATTTTGCCAGAAATGCTGTACCGTTATTTGTGTGCTGCTGAATTCTGCCCCTTTCGGTTCATATGAGCAATGCAGTAACAATATGAAGAGAGATGTACTCAGACATTTTTCTTAATTTTAAACGTTTTATACATAAAAAGGAACAGAACTTTTAAAAAGATGATTAAGAATTCTACAAAAACCGGGCTTCTCATGGGCGCTACCATGTTGAGATCACTTGACCCAGCTAACTAAACGTTTTGCTGGCATTTCCATTAAGTTATGAAAATGTTATTTCGGAATGATCTCTAGATGTTTAACATGTACAGTTTTTAAAATGCTTTTCTTGGTTATGCCAACATTAAGGCAACGTTCCGTTGAATCACTTTGCAAATATTATGGGAACATTGCTTTTGAAAGTTCTCTGAACATTCTGAAACTATTAGTAACATTTACAAAATGTTAGACGAACTTCAAACTTCCGAACATTTCAAAAACATTCCATGAACAATGTATAAAAATTGTTATTGAGAATATTATTAATGTCCAGATAACTTTGAATGAATGTTCTGTAAACATTACTGGAAGACTGTTTGTTCATAACTTTGACAGAATGTTCTGAGAATGTTCCCTGTTAGCAGCTGAGTCATGCAGTTGAGTTACTACTATTATTACTAATGACAATAATAATAATAATAATATGTTTATTTTATGTAGTCCTATCAGTCAGCACACAAGATGTTTTACAAAACATAAAAATAAAAATATAAATTCTAACACCACTATATGGGACAAATAAGAGCTGGCTAAACACAACCCAAAAATTAGTGAGTGCACCTTTAAGGAGAATTTTTCACTTCCTACATAGTATATATAACCGTCTATGAAAGAAAACATATGTGAAATGAGTCCAAGAGTTTAAACCCAGGAGGACAAAGTGCTTTTTGATACATAATTTGGTCAAAACCAGGAATCTACAGCGTTCTGGTCAGGATCAGGATCAGACGAAAGCTTTTTTAGTCTGGTCTCGTTCGCTGTACCCTGTCAGGTGAGAGCAGGATTAGTTGTCTGTGGGAAGCTGCTTTATTGAAAACAGCGGCCTTTGATATATAGCTCTTGTTCTGGGTTGTCAAACACCATCTGCTCCAAGTCTGGACTTGATTACACATCCCTCTCACATGAGGAGAAAGCTGCCGTCAACACAATGATGCTTCATAGAACTGAGAGATACAGTTTTAAGGAAATGGATGCATACTAACTATACTGCGTGGTCACAGTGAGCTGATTCCAAGAAACATTTACAAAAAGTCAATAGAGTGCTTTTAGTTTTTAAAATAAAGGCCTTGTTTGGTTCACTGGTTTACTGACAAATTCCACATATTCTGTGGAAGTTTGACGTATCTGATCAGAATTACATCATACGTCATTTTGGCTTTGAGGCATCGCCTTGCTTCTGATTACATCAGATATGCTTCTTTGTTTTCATTTGGTTTGTTATGTCATAGTTTCTTTTTGCGTTTTTGATTTTCATCTGCACTGGTGTAGATGCATCTTCATTCACCAAGCAGCTTTATCCACTGAGAATTAACATACGTAAAAAAAAGGGAACAGAAAATGAGCAAATGGTCTGTGTAAACCAGTGTTTTGAGCAAAGAGGTGAAATTTCCATCTCTAAGGGCAGCGTCTGAATCCTTGCATGAATTATTCATAACGATTTTGGCAGCTATTTTATCAAAGACTCATTACAGCACATGGGACACAGACGCGGGCATCCCGGGGGAACAGCTCAGACAAAAGCAGTGAAGAGAGCAAACTAAAAGCCGGAGTCCCCACCTCATCAGGGCACCTCCAGGGGCCCATTTGGTTTGATGTTTGGGACAGGCATTAATTAAAATATATTAATTAAGATACATTAAAGACAGTAACGTTGTAAAATATTATTGCAATATTGCAATGCAAAATTACTGTTTTTTTTAAAATGTAGTTTTAATTATATTTTAAATGATATATCTAAATATATCAAATTCTGAATTTTTTTATTTCAAAATCAGCATAGAAAATGCAAACAGCAGTTAGTGCATTCTCTTAGGCCTACAAAAGTACAGGTTTAGAACACAGAAGCTTCTGGGCAGGTTTGAAACATGAAACGTGGAAGTGCAAGTTTGAGGAAGCCACAAAGGCAAGCGCCTTTCTCACGCACTGCGTCAATCAGACAGTTGGTTTATGGGTTTCTTCCGTTTAACGCATGTGCTTTTGAGAAGAGTGGAAGGAAATGGCAACAGGTGTTTAGCAGGGCCTCAAAACTTTATTTAGATATCAACAGATGATGTTAGTGTCAGTGAGAATTACTTACGCAAGATTTCATTATCAAACAGTGAAGTTATCTACATTACAAAATGCATATAATGCGCTTGAGCCCTCTTATTTTTTTTTTACCCAGTTGTGTGTATCTGGTTTAATGCAGAATCACCGGTTATTTCACACTGTCATTGTAATGCCAGATAGTCACTGTCTCCTCATTAGGTTGGAGGGGGAAACACAAATGCTGATGCCCACTCGTTGTGCAGACAGTTTCCGAGCAGTGACGCCCGCTGGGGAAATGAGGAAATGGGATGGAGGAAGGAAATGAAACTAAACGTCCTCTAAAGACCCTTGACTGTGCCGTGGTGAAACATCAGAACCTCCAGTGGCTCAGATCTTTCTCTTTTTTTTTCAGTGAAACCACGAGCAACAAGCTCCTGTCTGAACACTGTCTCAGTTTTTAACTTCTTACTGTAATATGATGTGATTTACAAAATGTGCATGACAGATCCTGGGCCGTTTTTCACTTGAATTCTTTATGTAGTGTCCATTGAGAATGCCTTTGAATAATACACATATACTGTATATTACATAGACAATCTGTTAAAAGCTCCTTTTGGGAAGAGGTCAGAGACTGGTCACAGCAGCATATGTGTGTGTTTGAACATTTGAAACACCCGTCAGTTTTAGTTATGGTGCAGCTCCAAGGTTTTTTTTTGTAATTCTCTGTGTCAGACTGTGGATTTGCACATTTCAGACTGGGACTGGTTGCACTGGTTTCCAGCAATCCACTGATTTGATGTAGTGTACAAGAGGAATAACTAGACATTTGCATTTTGTGAAGTAAATATGAGTGTGGTTGTTCATGCAAAAGTCGTTGATGTTAGCATAGCTGTCAAGGCCTTTCTATGCAGTTTCAGATGTGTCAGTGAGCTGCGCGATTAATCAAAATAAAGGTGATATGACTTAAGTGTAGTGTTGTTTTTGGCGGCCTGTTTTAATTTTAGTTTTAGTCTAGTCTTTGTGTGAAGCTGTCATTTTAGTTTTTATTAGTTTTCAGTAGTCAAGTTTTAGTCAACTAAAAGTCTGAGCATTTTAGTCTTATTTTGTCACATGACCAGCATTTACGTTGCGTCTCATCCCCTTTTTCGTCACGTGATAAAGGTTCGTTGACGACGATATTTAGTCATAAGCATTAGCAACACTACTTAAGTGTGAGTATCAAATTACAAAGGCTGCGATTTACTTTCATAAATATATGCACTGCATGTTTCATTGGGAAGCGCAGCACTGTAATCTTTTACACATGAGCAGCTCATGTTCTAGTGTTTTCAGTCTTTCAATGTGCTTGGTTCACAGTAAATGTTGCTCCACACAAACTCATCTCATGCGTGTGCTGTTATTTTAGCTTATAATAGTCATTGTTGTTGTCATGTCAACAGAAGAGAAGCTTCTGTAAAACGGTTCCCTCTCACCAGAATGAAAGCTTGATTTTTACGATATGAAAATAAGAATATTGGTATTGTAAAAATGCACTGTAAAAATACACTATTATTATTTTATTTATTTTTACAAATACTTCACTTTTTTATTTTACCTTGAAATTGTATATATATTACATATTAATATTATATTAATTTGATATAGTACATTAATACATGATATGAAATTACATTTACATGTTATTTTGTTTCATACTTTTATTTTATAATATTAATAATTTTATTGCACTGTAAAATAATTTTTTTCTTAAACGCTTGATTTGTTTATTTTACAGTGAAATATTACAAATTAATATTATATATTAATATTACATTAATTTAGTTTAATATTTGTATTTTGTGAAATATTAATAAAACATTAATAATTCACTGCTTCACTTTTTAAAATGTATTTATTTATTGCATTTTTTTTGCATTTTAAATGTCAATTGTAAAAAAAAATGTAACACAAAAAACATTATTCAAAATCGCATTATTTCCCCAAATCGTGCAGCCCTTTTATGGCATTTCTAGGTGGTTTCTGGTGTTCTAGGTGGTTATGTACTGGTAAGCGCATAAGCGCGTTATCTGAGGCCTTATTTGTGTCAGTAGTACATATTGTGCAGCGTTACATGCCAGAATTGAATAAATAGACTAGATGGTTTGTTCAGATCCCCAATCCAAGTATGCTCATTAGTAATGGTGAAAGTCACTACATCACGCTACAGGAAAAAAAACTATGCAGAAACAGCATGTCATGCATATTAATGCACATGTTCAGGATGCACAAATCTTTGCAAGGTCTAGTAAGTCCAGCCAAATCTCTCTCTCTCTCTCTCTCTGCATCTCTCTGAGACTGACCTTTCCTTCTGTCACCAAGGTAACAGGCTCTACTGTAAATGGTTGGGAATCAGGAGGAATAAAGATACTCTCTAAAGACAGTGTGAATCACACATTTACAGTTCATCTTTTGAACTGCACAGATGGATTTTTGCACAGTAATGTGCTAATTATGCTGGTCACCAAGGGATACACACATGCATTAGGATTTGTAAATGAAG